TGCTATTAAGCTTGAATATATTGTGTTTCACTATGAAGATTACAAGATATATATACAAGCCAAAAGAGATGAAAGAAAGGAAAGAAATCAAACGACCTAATCTACGGGATTTACCAAATCACCTAATTGATACATCTAATCTATACCATGTTTACATTAACAGGTCCGACCTCGGATGCCGCTTCATCGATCGGTACCGCCACGAGCTGCTATCGAGATACCATGACTCCATGGCGTACCTTGAGAGGATCTGCACGGCCTGCCGCCTATATTTCCACGAGGGGATCCAGAGGACCCTGGCCAAGGTGAAAGATGAAGGGACCGCTATCACCGTGGATGAGGCGAAGGAGCTCGAGATGATGGTTGGCCTCCCTACCCCCGCAGGGTGGAATGGTGACCCGTCTCTCCCGGCAACCTATCCTTGGTGGGAGCCGGCCTTGGATACCGCAGCGAGAGCCATTGCGGCCGACGTCAGGTTAGAGGCAGAGATGGTCCTCGAGCCGGAGGACAACGAGCTCCCCTCCTAGATTTTCTTTTGATTTCCGTTTAGTACTCTATGTTTCTTTATTGGACCGGATGTGTTGAACCTTTCTTTTGGTTATCCCTTTTGTTATTGTGGCATGTAACCATGAACTTATTTAACCTCGCGTGAACTTTTCTATTCAGGCATGTAATCGTGAACTCGTTCAACGTTTTGCTTTCATTGTGTCGCTTGCACATTTCAATTATTCATACTTATATGACTTATCGCTATACAAGTAACTACACCTCTTCGTTCATGATAAGTTTCATTCACCGAGTCTTGAAAACCCTTAACATAGCGACCATGGGCTTTTGCACCTAGCACAACTATTGCTAAGTCTTTCAAGACTCACATTCCCAATTGCACACGATGACCTCGTCAACCATAGAGATCGCCACCTAGCTCCACGAGCGTTGGTGGGATGCACAGGCTTGCGCCCTAAAGAGGTCATCGCCTAGCTCCGTGAGCTTAGGCGAGACTACTAGACTTTTGCCCTAAAGAGGTCGTCGCCTAGCTCCACGAGCATAGGCGAGACTGACAGGCTTTCGCCCTATGGAAGTCGTCGCCTAGCTCCACGAGCTTAGGCGAGACTGACGGGCTTGCGCCCTATGGAGGTCGTCGTCTAGCTCCGCGAGCTTAGGCGAGACTAACAGGCTTGCGCCGTATGGAGTTCGTCGCCTAGCTCCGCGAGCATAGGCGAGACTGACAGGCTTGCACCCTATAGAGGTCGTCGCCTAGCTCCGCGAGCGTAGGCGAGATTGACAGGTTTGCGCCCTATGGAGGTCGTCGCCTAGTTCCGCGAGCATAGGCGAGACTGATAGGGTTGCGCCATATGGAAGTCGTCGCCTAGCTCTGCGAGCTTAGGCAAGACTGACAGGCTTGCGCCCTATGGAGGTCGTCGCCTAGCTCCACGAGCTTAGGCGAGACTGACAGGCTTGCGCCCTATGGAGGTCGTCGCCTAGCTCCCCGAGCTTAGGCGAGACTAATAGGCTTGCGTCCTATGGAGGTCGTCGCCTAGCTCCGCGAGCATAGGCGAGACTGACAGGCTTTCGCCCTATGGAGGTCGTCGCCTAGCTCCGCGAGCTTAGGCGAGACTGACAGGGTTGCGCTCTATGGAGGTCGTCGCCTAGCTCCGCGAGCATAGGCGAGACTGATAGGGTTGTGCCCTATGGATGTCGTCGCCTAGCTCTGCGAGCTTAGGCGAGACTGACAGGCTTGCGCCCTATGGAGGTCGTCGCCTAGCTCCGCGAGCTTAGGCGAGACTGACGGGCTTGCCCCCTATGGAGGTCGTTGCCTAGCTCCGCGGGCATAGGCGACACTGACAGGCTTTCGCCCTATGGAGGTCGTCGCCTTGCTCCACGAGCATAGGCGAGACTGACAGGCTTTCGCCCTATGGAGGTTGTCGCTTAGCTCCGCGAGCTTAGGCTAGACTAACAGGCTTGCGCCCTATACTTGGCCACTACCGAGCTCCGCGACCCAGCCCGTGCGCGCCCAGCCCACCTGATACGGAAGTGGAAGTCAACGCCGGCAGGGCTAGCGAAATTCGGGAGCTCAAATGCGAAAGTGCGCATCGGGCCTTGATGCGCACAATTGGGCAGCCAGCAGCAATAGCGCGCCATGGCCGTGGGACGAACGCGGGGCAGCGCTGGGTGTGCGCGGATGCACGGCAGTCAAGTAGGCCGCGGACGTTAACGCTACGCGTGGAGCAACGGAAGAAAGATGTGCGGGGCGCGCATCGCGCACAATTCGAAGTAAGGCGGGCGACGGCCTAGTCCGCGAGGGCATAGCAGTGGTAGGCGCGCGACGGCACGCGCGCAAGGCAACTAGCGAGGGCACAAGGCAGGCAATGTCGCGCGAGTGGAGCGCATGCACGGGCACATGCCTAAGCGCGGTAGGCATAGCCAGGGGGAGCGATGCGCACGCGCGAGGAAGGGGCGGCAGTCGCTGGGCGCGCGCGATAGCGCGCGAGCGTTACGAGTCATGATAAGCCGAGTCAGCCGAGGACTAGGGCTCGCGAACCCACGCGCAACGATGAGGCGGTGACATAAGGCGGCCAAATGACTTGGACTTCAAGACATTGGATTGGAGTGCAAGTCAAGACATTAGTAGTTTTAGTAATAATAGGATTTTATTACCTTGTTGCTTCTAATTATGGAATTAGGAAATCTAGATCTATTAGGCTTAGATTTATTTTATGCATCTATAAATACCCATGTACCTCTTCATAGTAGAATGTATTGGAATTGATGAGTGAATAGAAAAGGGGGAACTTGGTGTTCTTACGTGTGTTTAAACAAGGCCGTTAGTGCGTGTTTACATACAGAGTCAGAGAGAAGGCCGTAGAGTGTCTTGAAGTCACGGTGTCTAAGAGAAGGCCGTAGTGCGTTTGTTAGTCACATCTATCGTGTGTAGTCAGAGGCCCTGAGTGCGCGATTACATACAACCGAATAGGCAACAACCGCGATCAACACTCTCGGTTCGCACATCATTGGTGCTTTCATTGAGAGGGTTTCATTGAAGAGTGAAGATCTAGGTTATTGTTTATCTATCTTTTTTTTTTTTATTTTTTTTCGGTTATTACCTTTTGTTGAGGGGCCGAATTTCTCTTTATTTTTTCCCTTTGTTTGGTTCGAATTTTGTTCGAATTTTTTATTTTTTGTTGCGTGACATTGTCGAGTCAAAAAAAGTGTCATCTAGTCCTTTGTTATTTTACATAGAGTCTTAAAAAAAAAAAAAAGAGATTCATGATTTCAAACCGTGAAAGGATCCAAGCGTTGGAAGATAATTTGAAGATCATTGGTGATGCTCAACACGCCACCAACGAGAACTTGGGGAGAATTGAGTTGATGGTCCATGATCTGGCCGGGCAGCTTACACGCATGAACACGTGGCCACGAAGGGGTCACGGATCACGGTCCATGGCGTCGAGCACCGGGACCGAACACGAGGACGATCTCCAGTCCAGGTGCACACGCGCATTGCGCGCGGATCATCATCGGGACGATCGACGACGGCATGAAGGTCGCGTGCACCACAACTGGAGGCGCGAAGAGGACGATGATCAGCGGTCGTACTCATCGCACGCGTTGCGGGCCACACGCGACGAACGACGGGCACACCGCGACGACCGTAGGCGCCATGGAGACGAAGGTTGGCGACGGCACGGGGAACGAGCATATCCTGACCGTGACGAACACTACGAGGGATGGGCTCATGCACGACCAAAGATAACTATGCCCACGTTCACGGGAGTAGATCCGGATGCATGGTTAAGTCGAGCTGTGCAATTCTTTGAGATCAACGATGTGCCAAGGTATGAGAGAGTCCAAATTGCTGCTTATCATCTTGATGGAGAAGCAAACGTATGGTGGCAATGGATCTTGCACAAAAACCATGGCGAGCACATGCGTTGGAGAGACTTTGAGAGAGAACTCATCACGAGGTTTGGATCGAGTGATTACTTTGATTATGATGATGCTTTGTCTCGGATTAAACAAGTTGGTAGTTTGCGGGAGTACCAGAAGGAATTTGAGCGCATTGCTAGTAGGGTGTGGGACTGGCCCGAGAGTGCGCTAGTAGGAGCGTTTGTGGGAGGGATGAAAGCAGAGTTGGCGGCAAAGGTAAGATTAGATAGGCAAAGATCAATGCGAGCAGCCATGGAGTCAGCTAGGTTGCACGAGGATCATCTCGCAGCAGTTCGTAAGGCGAGGACGAGCGACGTGCGTATGGAGCCGAAACGCACGCACGCCGCAACCGAGGAACAAGTGCCGAAGATCGAGAGCAAGCCAATGGCCAATATGGTGCGAACAACGAGCAACGTACGGCGGCTTACTGATGAGGAGATGCAACGGAGAAGGGAAAAAGGCCTTTGCTATTCGTGCAACGAGAAATTCACACCAGGCCACAAGTGCAAGGGTAAGGAAGTTTTTTTGTTAGAATTTGAAGAAGAGAATGTTGGTGAGGAGGAAAAGCCACAGGAGCAGTCTTTGTTGCATATGGTTAAGAGCAAAAAGCGTGGTCCGAAGATGATCATATTCACGGCTGAAAATAGAGGCAAATTGGTGGAGGTATTGATTGACAGCGGATCTACGCTGAACTTCATTGATGAGGAGCTATCCAAAGAGTTCGAGATTCCATTCACAAAGGTTAAACCTTTTGGAGTCAAAGTAGCAAACGGAGAAACACTTCGAGGGGATATTCTCTTCAAAGGTGTAAAGATGGAAGCTCAAGGTCAAAAGATGAAAGTTGATCTGTATGCTTTACCATTGAAGGCGA